CTTGTTGGGTTCATCATCGAATTCCCAAAACCCCATCTTCTGATCCGGTGTTGAACATGAATCAAGCTGAGAAGCGAGCTCACATTTGTGCTGAATTCAAACAAAAGATCCGTGATCAATTTGGTCTTCCTAGAGACGCTACATTTGTCTTTCGAACTGAGCATGGAAAACAGAAGTATTTGTCTCTCAATTTCGGTACTGTAGTCTTATTGAATAAATATGGAACCAAGCTTCTTGCTGTGGTCCGGTTCAACAAACGTGAATATACTGGAAAACGGTTGAACAATGGCAAATTAAAACGTGAACTTGTACCTGAATGCACAAAGCTATTTGAAAACTTCAATAACTCACTGATGACTTTATATCAACATGCAACTGCCCAATATCGCTGTGTGACAAATGGTGCAGCTGAAGCACTAAAGCACATGAAATCTGGTCAGATGTTTGTGGTAGGGTTTCGTGGTGGATACAGGAAGAAAAAATATGGTGGTTTGTATCTAACATTATTATCATCTTTACTTTTTTATGATTTTGAGGAGACTTTTTTTATTCTTCTGGATACTAGGTCCTTACGCTCTCAATCTGACCACTGCACGACTTGTGGCTCGTATGGAAAACGACTTACGCCGCCAGATGTATCTTCCTTACATCAATCACTTCCTAGCTGAACGATTTGCCTCTCTATCCATTGGTGCCTTTCAATCCAACTGTGAACGAGATGCACGATGCCATGCACCATCCTGGGCATCGAAGTCATTTTTTAAATCACCCAATGGGCGTGTATTTGGATCCAATTTTGTTGTCACACGTGATGAGTTTGCTAACAAGGTGCATGTTGATAACGATCATTCTGGCTATACCTTTGGATTATTTAGTCTAATTCATCGAGATACTGGTAGACTCTATCGACGTGGACGAACTTCAAAGCATGGCTATACTAAAGGAGCTCGATTTGTATTTCCTGACTACAATTTTGAGATTGATTTTGATGGATGTGATGGAGTTGTTGAAATGGTTTGGGCATCGGACATCAAACACTATAGTACTCACTCCAAGACTTTTACTCATGATCATCAACCTATTCCACCGGAGGACGCAAAGATAACACGATTTGGATCATCTTGTCAAATTGCTAAAAGTATAGTTCAACGTCTTAACCAGATGTTATGGACAGACTTGGGGGTTTTCGGCGACGAGGGTCAAGGGAGTTCTGGTGAGGATTTGTATCTATTACCAGTCTTCCTATGTGGATTGTCGGATGAGGGAAAATCTGTACAGGCAATGTATCTACAACTATAAGATGGTTCTCGAGCTTGTGACATGTAATGTGAATATGTCACTCAAGTGAAATAGAACCAGTTCATAACATTATCCCCCCTTTAATGCCCAAGCTTCCTCTTGCAAGCTCTGCATTCTTTCCACGGGCTGCGTTAAAAAACCCAGTGGGAAAAAGCATAGCCCTCTCACTTCTTCCGCCTTCTCCTTTTGTACTTATTTGTTGCGTCGGGATATTTTAAATTAAACTCATTAACTAAATCTTGACTATTCTTGAGGTTGATTTCGGGTTCCCATGAATTGTTTTCCTTGCCAAATCCTTTCCAACTCACAAAGTATTCCTTCTTGTTGTACCTTCTTCTACAATCTAGTATCTCGTTGACTTCCCATTCTTCTTCATCCTGTATTATGATTGGTTCGACTGGGGGTTGTTTTCGTTGATGTATTGTATCCGGGTTATGTTTCCTGAGTACAGAGACATGAAATACAGGATGGACGCTTTTCATGGAAAGAGGGAGATTCAATTTATAAGTAGAATTTGATATCTTTTGGATAATGAAGAAAGGACCTAGCCATCTATTTTCTAATTTTGGGCTTGGCCTAGTTGTCGAAATGTTTCGTCCGTTCAACCAGACTTGGTCTCCTACTTCCCATCTTGGTGTTTGTTGTACTCTTTTGTCAAATTGTTCTTTCATCTTCTCTTGAGTTAATTCTAAACATTGATTTAATTCAGATTGCACTTCGGCGAGTGTTTGCATCCTCTTCTCTACTGCTGGCACACACTGTTCAGCTGATGGTACTTTGTTGAATGATGGGTTAAATCCATAGTTAGCTTTAAACGGTGAAATGCCCGTGGATTCATGGTCTTTGTTGTTATACGAGAACTCAGCTGTGGGCAGTAGACTTTCCCAATCGTCTTGTTGATATTTAACGAAATGTCGTAAATATTGTTCGATTACTTTATTGACGATCTCGCTTTGACCGTCTGTACGTGGGTGGAAAGCGGTTGACGGGTGAAGGCGTATACCTAGGCGTTTGTCAATTTCTTCCGTGATCTGTGAAATGAAAATACTACCCCTATCTGAGATTATCGTCTTGGGAGTTCCATGAAGCTTCCATACGTTCTTCATCATGAGATCTGCTAGGTCTTCAGCCGACATTGATTCAGTACAAGCAATGAAATGACTCATTTTCGTTAATCTATCCACCACGGTTAATATGCTGTCGTAGCCGTTTGATGCAGGGAGGCCGGTGATAAGGTCATATGAGATATCCGTCCACGGGCCAGCCGGTATCGGTAGTGGCTCCAGAGTCCCAAAGGGTTTCTGTGTGGTTGATTTAACCCTTAGACAAGAGTCACAACCGTCCACGTACCTGTTGAC